GGGCTAGGATCAGGGTAATGATTCTTAAATATGAGCTGAGCATTTGACTTCATGTATTTCTCTCTCTCTCTCCTTGCTACCCCCTCCCCCTTAATACATAGAATTTTTATCATCCTTAAGACAAAGTAGCTGGCAAAATATTTAAGCGATCCGAAAGAAATGTTTTTATTTGCCTGCATGCGAATTGGGTTATCTGCCTATCTTGTTTATGAAATTTGGGGCTGCCTTTCCTGCTGTCTGTTCCCCACTCAAATCTTTCCCGGCTCCCATTTCCATATTTCTACGTGCATGTTCTTTGTTAATCACTTGGCAAGTGCTTATTTGAATATTAAAAATTTCTTTAATCATCAAAGGCAGGAGCACAGTCTCATGAATATTCATATTTCCCCCCTCCTCAGACTGGAGTCTAGTTCATTACCCTGCAGTAAAAGCCAAACAGCCATCAATCGCCCTCATTACAGGCTCTGGCGTTTTGATTGGCTGCCTGCTGCCCAGAGCTTTTTTATTTTTATTTTTTTATTTTTCCTCTTCTCCTATGAGCTGTCTTGTACCTGCCAACAACCATCCCCCCCACAAAAAAAATCAATAAAGCAAGAATAAATTTCTCTGGTTGAAAAACAACTTTGCAAACTTATCAAACAGTCCTCGTGGTTTGCTGCCGCCAAAGCAGCCACCAGCACTACCTGCCCCCACCTGCAAAAAAAAAAAAAAAAGAGAAAAAAAGGAGGGGGTGGGGAGGAAATTAAATAAATAAATAAAAAGGGAGAAACTTGAGCCTCGGAGATGAATATTTGTCAAGAGAGTTGACGTAAGTCTCATTTGCATAATGACTTTGTACTTCTGCATTAATAAAATTTGCATATGAAGCCATGTTAATTACTCCTGATCATGCTTTTTGCATTCATGCATAGTAATTTTCTCCGACTTGTGAGAATTAATGTCTTGGCATGGGGGGAGGGGGCGCAGGGACTGTCAGGTTTCCTTGCCAGTGGCCCTCACTCACATGCACTCACTCCCTGTCTGTCTCCCTCCCTGATCTATGACTCATTTTTGCACTATCAGTAGGAGTTCTTGGCTGAAAAAAATGTATCAATTGAGAGGCAGCAGTAGGGAGAAATATATACATCTCCTGCACAGTGTATTCCAGAACTCCTCTGCTAGCTAGGAATCTGTAACCCTCCCATGTGGGAGGGGACACCGAGGATGCGGCATTGGGAAAGGCTCGCCTTCCCCTGGAAACCAGGCTGGGGCTTTTCCAGGGAGTTTTTTGTGTCTGCACGCTGGTCGTCGGTGTGGGTGTGTTTGCGGAGTAGTGCGCATGTGTGAGGAGTGCGGCTGGACCATCTGCAGGCCCTCTCCAGGAGGGAGACGGGTTACAGACCCCCGAGGAACAGGGGCATTCAAATCACTCGGATTTGGAGCTTAGGAAAGGGGTCTTATTGTTGGACATTTTGTAGCTCTTTTTATGAAATGCCTAGAGAGAGTGACTGTCACCCCTGTGAGCTTTGTGGTCTTGGGCACAGAGCTTCAGTTTCCTTGTTTGTGGGGGGGGGGGCTCCTGATACCTGTACAATAGGAAGGCTGCTGGGTGTAAAAGGGATGATGATATATATGTACAGCCATTGTTTATTTCTTTTTCCTTTAATGGCAGTGAACTTCCATGATAAGGAATTGAGCCAGCTGAGGTTTTATTTTTAAGCCACCTGGATCTTGCATAAAGCTGAGATGGCGTCTTGGCGTCCCTCGCCACATACCTTGGTGCACGTGCGTCTGTTCCAGCTCCAGAGGGCAGCTGGCCTCGACCTCGAAAGAGTTTTTTTTTTGTTTGTTTGTTTGTTTTAAAGGAGTGCCTTTGCAGGGAGCGTTCCTTGCCGTGCTGTGGGGAGGGCCCATAGGGAGCAGGGAAAGTTCCAAGGTGAAAAATAAATGAATGATACTGACGGTTGGTTTATTGAGTGTTTGCTAGAAACCTGGCTCAGCCGGGCGTGTCCTGACTTTCCTTTAAAGGAGAGGCTCTGAGAAAGTGACTCACTCCAGGTCTCGCGGCCAGGAGATGCCAGAGAAGGGTACGGACCCAGGCCTCTCTCCGAGGCAGTGTAGCCTCTGAGCTCCGGGCTTCCTCCACCCGTGCTGAGGTGCGTGGTCTCAAGTGCGCAAGGTCTCAAGTGTGTTCTCGATTCTCTGGCTGTGCACTTTTCAGGGCCGCCACCTGGAAGGCTGGGAGGTAGCCTGGGACAGGTGCTGCGGCCAGAGACCATCTTCACGGTGAACTTAAAAAAAATTGAGATTTGATTCACATCATGTAAAATTCACCATTTTAAGGTGCGCAGTCAGTAGCTTTGGGTATGTTAACAGTGCTGAACAGCCATCACCTCTGTCTAATGCCAGAACATTTCTGTCACCCCTCAAAGAAACCCTGTATCCATTAGCCCGCACTCCTTCCACCCCTGGCAGCCACCCGTCTGCCTTCTGTCTCCATGGATTTGCTGTTCTGGACGTTTCCTGTAATCGTACAATAGGTGGCTCCTGTCATCACCTTTGGCTTCTGCAGCTTCAGGAGAGGGTGTTTGGAGTTCCACCTTTGGGCAGGGTTTTGGTTTAAGCTGCTCAGGGTGGGATGGGGAGGGGAACCTCCTCCAGGGCAGAGGGTCCTCTGAGAGTACCCTGAGGGTCCTTCTCTGGCAGCTTAGGATCAGAAGCCCCCCACCCTTGCTGTCCCTTCCCCACCTCCACTGAGCTGGCCCTCGGAGCATGTGGACTGCCCTGAGACCAGAATTCTAAGGAGACTGTCTGGAAGTGCTCCCACCCCTACCAGGGTTGGGGAATGACTGCTTTTAGCCTCTGGCCTCATGAAGCAAGAGAGGGATGAGGCTGGACCTGCTCTTTGATCCTTCCTGCCAATTGTGGACATGCAGCTTCTGCTCTCTTCCGGCTTGGGACAGCAGTTACCTGGGCACTCCTGCTGGTTTCCTTCGCCATGCTAAATGGTGGTGGCAGTGCTGTGGTCTTGCCCAGAACCAGGGGGTCCGGAGTTGTTTTTTGCGACCTCTGATGTCCCAACTCAGCCCAAGGACTGCCTCCCACCCCTCTCAGCCCTTCCTCTCCGGATTCTGGGTGCCCTAATCACTCCACCCCAGCCCCAGCCTCAGGGGGAGGCAGGGCATATCCAGGCTTTGGAGATAAAACTGGGTTCAAGCCCAGACCTCCCCGAGCCTCAGTTTCTCCCCTGTGGAGCCGGGGGAGGTCTTCCCTGTTGATGGGGTGTTGGTGGTAAACCGTGCCCCGCTCGTTGTAGTGGGCGCGTGAGCCACTGTCACACTCATGATGACCCAGAGTTTCTGTGGTCTTAGGGCAGGGCCAACGTAACAGACAGGGTACAAATGCCGAGTTCAGTGCTGGGGAGTTTCAGGCAAGAATCAGCCAGGGCAGGCTTCCTGGAGGAGGCAGGCAACGCTGGTTGCAGGTGCTGACCTCTCTTGAGAGCCTGTACTAAATCTGGGGCACAGCCTTCCAATCAGCATCTGTGGCTGGAACTGTGCACGGGGTCTTGGCCACATCTTCCGGGGCTGTTGCAGGCGCAGAATCACCCCGGGCTGGGCCTAGCCTGGTACCAGGTCTTCCTTGGCCCAGAGGGGCCGAGGCGGCAGTGGTGTTAGCCTCGGTCTCTTGGCCGGACAAGTGTAGGTGTCCTCAAATACACTAATGCCCCTGGTCCTGGATCACAGCCGTTTCGGACAGACGGGCCCAGAGAAAGAGCCCTGGTTCTGGAGCCAAGCAGCCAGCCAGGGTGTTGGTGCAGCTGGCTGCTGGTGTCTGCAGTTTTCTGTGGTCACGTCATCAGTTTCCTGGTCTGTGCAATGGGTCTGCTGAACCCCGCCCCCGAGGGCATGCTAGGAAGCTCACTCAAGATGAAGAGTGACACAGGCTGCTGGCTTGCAGGGTCCTGTGGCTCTTCTGGATGGGGGACTCGCTCATAGGGGCCCTGGAATGGGCAATCCCTGCCCCTGCAGACCTGCGTGGGGCACTGGGCACCGTGGGGCAGGGGTGAGGGGTGCTGGGGGAGCGTCCCTGGCAGAGCCAACCCGGGGCCCAGCTGCCCATCATCTTGTTGATGTTTTCCTTTTGTCTCTCTGATGCTTCCCCGCTCAATTATTTACCCAGGGAATTTGGGCTTCTTCACTTGTGGTTTTGGCAAGGGCTTCACACAAATGTTTTGCCCTGGTGGTCTCTTAGCCAGTTAAGATAAACGGCCAAATCAAACGCAGGCCTTGCCGGGGAGCCCAGGCGAGCTGTGGGGCTGGGCGGAGACAGGCAGGCCCCTGGCTCTGCGTCTTGGCTGTCAGACTGGGGGAGGTGTGAAGACGGTTGCTGGGCAGTGCCACGGCTTTCTGGGGTGGAGGGGGCTTCAAAGCCTTCTTAAAGCACTTGGGGCTTGGATGTTGGGTGAAGGTGTTGGTTGCGGAGGAGGACTGTGGGCTGGGAGAGGCACCAGCTGATGGTTCACGAGGCTGGAGGCTAAGCGGTACCCAGGCGCCGGGAAGTGGACTGGAGGTATCCAAGGCCTGTACGAACAGCCCATCTGAGCAATCGGTGGTGGCTCAGAACTTCCTGGCTCTTCCAGAGGGGGGTGGCCTAGATTTGGGGGAATAAGTCCCCAAATGGAGTCTGCTCCAGAACACTCCAGAAGCCTGAACCCTGGGAGACCTGACAGCCCCTGTTTGCTCCAGCCCTGTGTATTAGGCAACCCTGGGATGGGAGTCTGGTCCCGAGACAGTCCCATCTGGCAGCTGTGGACATAGGACCCCCTCAGGCCCCACCCACTTCCCTGACCCCTGATCCTGCCTCAGTCCTGCTGCCTTCCCCAGCGGGCTGGCACCCTGGGCCTCCCACCCTGGAAGGGTGGTCTGCAGCCCCCTGCCCCGGGCCCCAGTTCCGCACCCTGAAGCCCTCGCCCCGTCCAGGGCCCGACTGACCAGCCTTTTCTATTGTTTTTTCTCCAGGGCCGTGCAGGCCTGCCCAGCTGCCAGCGGTGGCCCCCATAGCTGCCTCCTCCTCCCACCCTCACACATCCGTGATCACTTCTCCGCTGCGCGCCCTGGGCGCTCTGCCGCCCTGCTTCCCCCTGCCGTGCTGCAGCGCGCGCCCTGTCTCGGGTGACGGGACTCAGGGTGAGGGTCAGACGGAGGCTCCCTTTGGATGCCAGTGTCAGTTGTCAGGTAACCTACGGCCGCGGTGGGGGGCGGGCTCCTGGGGATGGCGGGTACGCCCTGGGCTGAGCCAGCGGCTACCTCTCCCAGGCGGGCTGGGCAAGGTGGGGACCCCGGGGAAATGTGCGACCTGTACCCCAGAAGGCATTTTGGGGAGGTGCCGGGGAAGTGGTGAAGGATGTCAGCAGAACTGTGCGCTGGTGCCCTGGTCCCCGTCTGAGCCCTGGTCCCCGTTGGTCAGGAGGCCTTCCCCAGGCCCCCACCCCCTCTGAGAGTCTCCTCTCAGAATGCATTCCCCCAACCTCCCAATTTCATCTCTTTGGGCTGTTTAGCTAAAGTTTAATTGGATAACGCTTAACATCTGAGGTTTTCTTCTGCCCTCGCCACTGCCACCCTCCTCCCCCACCCCAGCCATCACCCACCACCCCCAGAGCACGGCTAGAATGGATTCCTTGGTTTCTGTGTACATCACTGGAGCCGTCCAAAATGCTGAGTTTCTTTTGCGAGAATGTGTTGCCCATTAACTTTGAGAAAAAAAGGTCTCTCTGAAGGAGGTTTTTAGCATCGGCTCTGAGAGGGAGTGAAGCTTTGTGGGGGAGCATGTGGGGGAGGGGCAGGGGGTGGTGCTGAGCATCTGTGGTGTGCCCGGCTCCAGGTCGGTGTGGTTACCCATTACACAGATGGGCGGACAGGGCAGTGCGGAGGCACCACCTGTTGGTCTCCCTTACATCCCTTCTCTCTCCCCAGGCAAAACCAAACTCCTGCTCCAGCCTGGGGTCCCTGGAATGTGCAGGCGGGGACCTTGCATCCCAGCCTCTCCCGCCTAGAGTCTTGGCAGGGCCTGAGGCAGAAAACACTGAGGCCACAGGAGCCGGGATGTTAATAAGGACACTGGGGGTGGAGAGCACCCCTCGGTCTGGTTTCCAGGCGGGGGAGCAGGGGCCAGGAAAGCAGAGGGTGGGTGCATAGCCAGGGGAGGTTCTGTTTGTCCCTGCTTTGTCACTATGCACGTTGCAGGCTTTCTCTCGACCCCGGTTGTGAAAGGAAAAAGATTTTTATGAGGCAGGTTTTACTTTTCATTGAAGCTGTCCCAGGGGGTGGCCCCCCCCAGAGCCACAGCTCTGTAGAGGGCCACAGGCAGCTCGGCTCAGGATCAAGAGCTCCCTGAGCCTTCCTGCTGGCGGAGTGCCCTGCTGCCTTCAGCACCCCTTGCTATATAACAGGGTGACATTGTAAGCACTGGGCTTATGTCTTGAATGCACAAAGCAAAGACTCAATCACCCGAAGAAGCCGGCTCCATGACTCGGGCTGCCCTGGGGCCCAGGGTGACTGAGGCCCCCGTCTCAGCTCTGCAGGTCTGTGCTGTGATCCCTGCTTGCTGAGCGCGGGATGCCTGCTCCATCTGGGTGGCTGCCCTGCCCTCATGGCTTCCTGTAATCAGTGCTGCAGCCCTCAGCCGCTACTCTGGGGGCTGCACTATCAAAGATCAGCCTGAGTGTTTATGACTGGACTCAGTCTGTGGTGCAGGAACATGATCTCCCTGGCAGTAGAGTGCCTGGGACTTTCCTTAACCCTCTCAGGGCTCCGGCTCTGCTTAGAAGCCATGGTGCTGAGCGAGAGCTGTGACGTCCCCATTTTACAGATGGCAAAGCAAAGGCTCGGGGAGGGTGAGTGGCTGGGCCCGTGTTGTGGAACCTGGGATTTGTGGTCAGGATGCCTCCTGACAAGGCCAGCCCTCTTCCCGCTGAGCCACGTGCCTCTGCCTACATCCAGGGGACATGCTCACACAGTCACTCTCAGCCATGGTGCCACCGGCTTCCTTATTGAAACTGTGGATTGAGGGCCTACTGTGTGCTGCTTTGCGCTATACATTTTGTGTGTAATCTTGAGTTTAATCTTCATAGACACCTTAGGAGGTAGGTTTACTGTCCCTCCTTTACAGATGAGAAAATGAGGCTCAGAGATGTGAAGTCTCACAATTCACATTCGTTTGTTCATTCGTTTGTTCATTCATTGCTCCACTCACCGAGTTTACAGGCTCTGTGCAAACCACAGTGCAGTCAAGCACGGCAGGTCCCTGCCCTCCTGTGGCTTGCAGTCTGGTGGGAGGGGGTGGGGGTGGTGGAGTGGGAATGGGGACCCGCAGGGAGGATGCTTCGAAGGGGATGGAAGAACAGAGGTGGCGTGTGGTGGTGGACTGCTCATCCTCCACCTGCTTTATCCTGGGCGTTGGCTCACCCGACTTAGAGTCCTCCTTGGATTTTAGACCTTGATGCCGCGAGGGCTCAGCACCCGTGAGCAGCCCCTACGCTTGCCAGCAGTGCCGGGGAGGGGAGCGAGGCAGGGCAGTGTCTGTGTCTGGGGTCCTGGGCACCTCTCCTCCTTGCCTCCTCGGGGGCCAGCTCTCGGCCTCCGATACTCTGCCTGGATTCCTAGCACTGATCTCGTCCTCATTGGGTCGCAGTAATTAGACTCTGCCAGGTTGCGCCATCATATTTTCAGATCAATTTCGGTACCTGAAATACCCTATTCCAGTGGTTTTTGTCCCTTTGTGGCTTCTGTCCCTGGCACTGGGCTGTTTGCTTAAGTGTTTTTAGTGCCTGCTTAATTAGTAGTTGGAATGGAGTCATTAAATTCCCAGTAACCCGTTAGGAAGAAGCAGTCCTCTGTAAAGACGGAAAGCGGCTGCTGTCCGTACTTTGTTTTGTCCCTTTTCGGATCAGGGTGCACTTTTCAAATTAATCTGGAAAACCCCAGTGTAACCGTGTTTCACACAGGTTAATTGCATGCTGGGGAACACATTCTAGGTTACTTATAGAAGGATGCGATTTTATGGGGAAGAAGACCACACAGGAAAGGGTATTTGTGTACCTTTCTGGCTGGCAGTATCCCGAACACTGGCTCCCAGGACCCCGACCCCAAATCTCCTTCTAACGGTCACAGCAGGAAGGAAGGTCTGGGGAGACCCCTTTACTTTTTCTTTTTTTGACTCTGTTGAAAGAGTGAGGGGCTTTGGGTCTGGATGTTCCTGGAAACTGAAGTTCCTTCCCTGAGAAATTCCATGTAGGAATGTCTCTGAGGTACTGATGGAGTCAAAAGGCTGGGGTGGGGCTGTGGTCTTGGCTCTTACTCCATCTGGCCAGTGACCTTGAGTAAGTCATTTCCCTTGTCTGGACCTGTCTCCCCTTCTATAAAAATAAATATACACGTATACACACAGGCGTACATATGGTACATATGTAATATGCACATACACACACGTGTATATATGGTACACATGTAATATTTAAATACCAGGCTCCTCCTACTGACCTCTAAAACAGATCACATCGATGAGTTTCGATTACTGAGATGCTGTGGATATCTGGGTACAGGACTTGGCTAGCGTTCCCAGGCAGGATGGGGCATTCAGAGAACAGTTTGAAAACCATCGGTCTTTGGAAACCCTGAACCCTTCCCTGTTCTGAGGTTTTCGTGATGGGGAGGCAGAGTACCAGAATGCAGAGTGAAGGCTGCTTTTTCCTGTAGGGCTGTGTGACCTCAGACAAGTCATTTCCACCCTCGTCCTCAGTTGCCCCACCAATAAAATGGGGGTAATTGAAGGATTGTTCTGAGGATTGAATGAGGTCATACACACTTGGTGCTGGGAACAATGCCTCTTGCTGAGCGAGCCTTCCAGATGTTCTGATTTATGCGGGAGCAGGATGGGTATCACAACCTTACATCCTTACCTGCCCAGCGCCTTGTGGACTCCTGCTTCAAGCTGGATCCCCACTTTCTATTCTTAAAGGCATTTAGCCTCTTGGCTGGCTCAGATCATGTACTCTCAGCATTGGGAGGTGGAAGAGGAACCTAGAAACTTCATTGCATATTTAAGAGCCACAAATGGTCATCAGCCACAATGATTAATACGTGCGCTTGGTGACGTTCAAGGTCTCAAGCAAGAACACACGAGATCCCAGCTCAGGAAAGTGAAAGTGTTTGGATTTAATAGAAGGAGTCAGTTGCAGTCATTAGTATATGCTGAAATCACAGGGCAATCTTGTAAAGTTAAATTCAATTTACTTTTCTACTGAAATTGTGCTTGCTGTGTTATTTAACTAGTCTGGGGTTTCTTGGCATGGGTTAAAGGGACAGTAAAGAAAAAAGAATACCTGTAAGTAAATAGTAGGGTTTAACAGTGGGATCTTGTCGTTTTCTCCTCCTTCAATTATATCCTAGTGTTCATTTTGTGTTGGTTGTTACAGCCGGAGCCTTCCAATGAGATGCCGTGGATTAGGCCACCCTAGCTGTGGAAGCTTGATGCAATTAATACAGTCTGTCTGGAAAGTGGCCTTATTTCTGGAAGTTTTATGTTAATGATATGGTCTGTGCTTTGCACATTTCGTAGCAGAACAAGAAGCAGGCTGTAGTTTCGTTTTGGGCTGGGTTTGATTAACACCGGAGGATCAGTGGGCAGCCAAAGGATGATGTGGACCGAGATGACTGCGCTGCCAGGCCCCTGCTGGCGCACCACCTCCATTCGGGCACAGGGGGTGCAGAGGTGCCCTGGCTGGGCACGGGGGCCTCCATGGAGACCTTGGAGGGAGGGGTGAGTATGGGGTGACGGAGAGGAGAAGTGAGTGTGGGTGAGCGTGTGCGGACAGAAGCACTCCCATCGGGGAAGGTTCCAGACACGCCCCTGACATTCTCCATTCTCTTTGCACAGTCGCGTTTGTGGTGGGGTCTTTCTGGACTCACCAGGTCCCAGGGGCAATGAGGATTGGCTCACTGTGGAGAAAGGCTCTCAGGGGAGTTATTAAAAATTTAAAGAGTCATCTGTATGCCCTGCACTGATGTCTCCATCACTGAAGGGGCTGGCAGTCCAGCGTGTTCAGCCTGTCGGCGGTTCCTGGAGTCTACTCTGGTGTCTGCTGGTTTCTCGGGATCATACTGCTGCAGAGGCTGCCCTTGGCCACCTGCCTTCAGAACCCAGACACTTTCTCCTGTCATTGGAGGAAGACCAGGAG